CTCTCTCTCCTTCCTGGATGGCTGGGGCCTCCAGGCAACCCCAGCATTGTTTGGTTTGGTTTGGGTTGTGTTACGTTGGCTCTTTTGGTTCCTTATGATTACACACATACACCTCATACATCCAACACCTCTCACCACACCACTGATTACTGATCTGCACTTAAATCTTATTCTTTAAATAAATCTTTGGTTAATCTAACTGGTTGCTGTGTGGTTCTCCCTCTTTTGTTGTGCTCTTAAACGAGCTGGGCATAACAAGTGGGGGCTCGTCCAATTTTGAACTTGGGAGTGTCAATGTTTGGCTCTTGTGTGGCATTAAAACTGGGAGGCTCACAGTGGCTTGTTTGAGTGTTGTGTTAACCAGGGAGTAAATGGTGCGATGGTGCAATACGATTTGACAAATTACTAGCTATTCTCTCGGCTCTACTACTCTCTCTGCTCTGATCCAACCTACTCGCTATCAGTTCGATAACTGCAGACAGAATGGTTTTATAGGAGGCGTAAAGGGAGGAGGACAGGTTTAGCGTGGACGGTTGGTTACGTCATTCGTTACGCCCTGAAAAAGAGTCATTCGCCTTCAATGTAATGTAATGTTCAGTTTTGCTTTATTGGGGGGGTCTGGGGGGGGTCAGAAAACCAGTCATTATCTGGTGTGACCACCATTTGCCTCATGCAGTGCAACACATCTCCTTCGCATAGAGTTGATCAGGTTGTTGATTGTGGCCTGTGGAATGTTGGTCCACTCCTCTTCAATGGCTGTACGAAGTTGCTGGATATTGGCAGGAACTGGAACACGCTGTCGTATACGCCAATCCAGAGCATCCCAAACATGTACATTGGGTGACATGTCCGGTGAGTATGCTGGCCATGCAAGAACTGGCATGTTTTCAGCTTCCAGGAATTGTGTACAGATTCTTGCAACATGGGGCCGTGCATTATCATGCTGCAACATGAGGTGATGGTCGTGGATGAATGGCACAACAATGGGCCTCAGGATCTCGTCACGGTATCTCTGTGCATTCAAAATGCCATCAATAAAATGTACCTGTGTTCGTTGTCCATAACATACGCCTGCCCATACCATAACCCCACCGCCACCATGGGCCACTTGATCCACAACGCTGACATCAGCAAACCGCTCACCCACATGACGCCACACACGCTGTCTGCCATCTGCCCTGAACAGTGAAAACCGGGATTCATCCGTGAAGAGAACACCTCTCCAACGTGCCAGACGCCATCGAATGTGAGGATTTGCCCACTCAAGTCGGTTATGACGACGAACTGCAGTCAGGTCGAGACCCCGATGAGGATGACGAGCATGCAGATGAGCTTCCCTGAGACGGTTTCTGACAGCTTTTGCAGAAATTCTTTGGTTATGCAAACCGATTGTTGCAGCAGCTGTCCGGGTGGCTGGTCTCAGACGATCTTGGAGGTGAACATGCTGGATGTGGAGGTCCTGGGCTGGTGTGGTTACACGTGGTCTGCGGTTGTGAGGCCGGTTGGATGTACTGCCAAATTGTCTGAAACGCCTTTGGAGATGGCTTATGGTAGAGAAATGAACATTCAATTCATGGGCAACAGCTCTGGTGGACATTCCTGCAGTCAGCATGCCAATTGCACGCTCCCTCAAAACTTGCTACATCTGTGGCATTGTGCTGTGTGATTAAATTTAACATTTTAGAGTGGCCTTTTATTGTGGCCAGCCTAAGGCACACCTGTGCAATATTCATGCTGTCTAATCAGCATCTTGATATGCCACACTTGTGAGGTGGGATGGATTATCTCGGCAAAGGAGAAGTGCTCACTAACACAGATTTAGACAGATTTGTGAACAATATTTGAGGGAAATGGTCTTTTGTGTGTATAGAAAATGTTTTAGATCTTTGAGTTCAGCTCATGAAAAATGGGAGCAAAAACAAAAGTGTTGCGTTTATATTTTTGTTAAGTGTATAAAGTTTTTCCTTAGTACAGAAAGGTAAGCAAGCAAAAGCAACATCTCAAGGTTAAAAGAATCTGAATACCAAAAACTCAACTCTGACATAGCTTTTGAGTAAGGTAGTGTTTCAGCCACAACACTGGGTCTCACTAATGGAAAATAAATAGCCATGCTTCCGCTCTGGTTTAAGAACCCATGATCGTAAACCTGAACTTTCTTGCAGACAAACTGAAAACATCCTATTTCCTGTATAGACTCAGTTTTGTTTGTTTCCACCTGTTCAGCTGTGGTTACTGCGGCACTGTCTGTTAGTTTCACATGATGTCTTTCTCTTTTGGTGCTGAGGCAACTCTGAACAGGTCTAACCCCTGGTCTGATCCTGTGATCAGGTCTCGTCCACCCAGATACTTTCACTTTTCATCCACATCTGAACATCTGAACATCTGCAAAATATGATATGATGCATCATTACAATATGATATTGTCATGTCTTGTCAAGTTTAGTCCTCATTTCAGTTCTGCATTTCCTGTTTGATTTTGTCTCCTCTTGTTTCAGATTAGTTCCTGTCACGTTTCCCTCTGGTGTGATTAGCTGCCCCGCCCTAATTTGTTGCACCCGTGTCTCTTTGTCTTTCCTCTCCTCATGTATTTAGTCTGTGTGCTCCCTCCTGTCAGTGCCAGTTCGTCTCAGTAGCTCTACTAACGTTCCAGCCTTTTGTTTCCTAGCTTCAGGTACCAAGTGTTTTGTGTTTTGCTGTTTTTTGGACTTCGACTCTGCCTTGCCCTTTTTGGTACTGCTTCACCTTTACCTGCCGTCTTCATTAAAGACTGCGTATTTGAAAAACCCTTGTGTCCTTGAGTCGTGCGTTTGGGTCTACTCCATGTGTGAAACCTTGTCAGATATGATATGATGCATCGATATGATGCGACTTAGATTCATGGAGTGAAAACAAATCACTGTTTAAGGACACACACACACAGAAACACAGAAATGCACTCTGGTGGTCGAGTTGTTTGTTTCTGTGTAACCACACTAAGACACACACACACACACACACACACAATGTGTATGTTAGTGTTGTCGGTGTTGATCCACAGTCTGCAGCTTCGCGGGTGTCTCAGGTGTCACACCTTCCACCATCCCCTCATCCCCCCTTTATGACAGTCACTTCATAAACTACGTCACTTCAGGGTTAGAGTTAACAGAGTCGTTCCTGGAGAACTCTGCAAGAGCCATGATTTTAATCAATAATGTCATTGATCAGATCAGATGAAATCTTTTGTTCTACAGTTTGAGTAACAACAGTTTTAAACTGAAGTGCGCTGCGTGTTCTGTTAACAACTCTTTATATCTATCAATCACTGATTAACATGATTAAAAATAAAACTTGTCGTGGCCAGATTTTAAATTTAAAACTCACACTTCTCTGTTTTCTACAGACATGTGAACTGATTTATTTCAGGGCAGTTTGTGAAGTGAACCACATTCAGCTTTGTAAGGTGCTTTGAAAGGTCAAACTGTATTGATTTGGAGGATAATCAATGACCAAATTTTTGATGGTTTAATAAATAAACCAGGACAAAAAGCTTAAGTTCATTTCATAGAAAAAGGAACTTAGTGATGAATGATGTGTCTGTATGTAGGGATCAATAATTGTTTCTATACATTTAAAACACCTTCCTCACAGTGTGACTTTTAAACTGCACAGTATTTTGAAACCATTCTCACATCATAATTGTGAGCTCTCACAGGAAACAATCATAAATGGAAAGCAGAGCGAACTTTCTCAACGTACGACTTAACCAACATCCTGACATCTGTCACTCAGCATCTGTGTTCAGTCGGAGGAAGTGAACACACCTGTGAGCACCATGTGTCTGACGCTTCGCTGCTGTTTCGCTTGCAGATCCTGCAGAGCACCAGGTAAGAAAACCTGTCATCAGCAGGGTCTGAACTACATGTGGCACTTTGATCTGGTTTATTTGTATTAAGATGTTTTAAGAAGTGAAGTGTGGCTGCAGCGTGATGTTTTTCAGAGCAGATTATCAGAGACAAACTAAAGACACATTCAGACAGCGTCCCTGACTGAGGTGAAGAAGATTTAACTGTATGACTGATGACAAGAGCTCACAGCCGACACTCTAATGTCTTCAGGACAAGTCTCTAAACATCCTGCTGAAAATCTGAAGACACAACACAAGGTCAAACACTCCTCATCCGATCTAAATAAAATAATAATAAAATAAATAAAATGTAATGAAATCTTTTCATAAATGTGAATGAGATATTTTAGCTTATAAAAAGTGTCAAGCACAGAATGTGAAGAGTTGAGGGTCTAAATATTTGGTTAAAATATTAAATATAATATAAACAGTCAAATAATAAACATTCATTTATTTGTTGTTTTACTCATGCTTACACAATGAAATGTAAGTTGCACCCTGTCATGCTACACACACACACAGAACATACTCATACATATGTTAGTGGGACTGAGGCTTGTTTAAAAATAAGTTGTCTGTCGTGTGTGAATGTTGGATGGTGCTGAATGAGGTCGAGTTGAAGAAGCTGTGTTAATGTCTGGAGGTACGTTGCTGGCCGGACGGCAGCAGGGTGAACCAGCTGTGGCTGCTGGGTGGGTGATGTCTTTGTTAATATTGTCTGTGCAGCAGCACGATATGAGGAAAATATGCAACAATGCTGTTAAATATCACAATAATTATATTACAATAACAATAAATACAATATCCAAGGCACAAAAAATACAGCAAATAGCTTTTAATAAAATAAAGAAAAAATATTTCCAACAATCTTTTATTAAACAAATAAAAAACTGAACACAATATATAAATAGAATAAAAATAGAATGACCGATTTTAAAGTTTTCTTTCAGCTGAATTCCACAGTTGGTCACGATGAGTTTATCGTGTGAGTTCACGCTGTGATGACTCTGAAATCACTGACGGTCAGTTTTAATCACCTGCTGCGTCCTGTTTCCAGTCAGGATGTTTTCTCCTCTGTAACAGTTAAAACAAACTTTGGAGGGAAGTTTTTAAGAATTAAATCCATGTCAGTATTTTTTTTTTAAACCAGGACAGACATGTGACCTTGACAGCTCCTCTAAAACCAAGCATCAACCTTTAGGACTGAAAAATGAAGCCCAAAGTGACTCTGATTGACAGGTTGTTTGCTCACAGTGTCCTCAGCTTTTTGGTGAGATCCCCATCGATCCTCCGCTGCTCCACCCGCTCAGACAGTCACTACTTTACAGTCTGTGGCTCCACCTCAGCTCCATCAGTGTTCGATCAGGTGCAGCTCGACACCTGAAAACAAAACTGTGTCTGCAGGATCATTAGTTTAAGGAACATGTATTGTTTGACCTGCTGGTGGCGCTGTGTGTGTAGGTAGGACTCATCCTGCGGGGAACACAAACATCTTTCCAAAGTTTCACAACAATCCATGAACTCACTGTTGAGATATTTGACTCCTAAAAGTTGAGAGGAGGGCAGTGTCGCCTCAGCGCTCTAAAAGTAGTTCAGCCTCTGTGTGTGTGTGTGTGTGTGTGTGTGTGTGTGTGTGGACTTTCCACCACTCATTTACATCATCAGTGGGCAGAGCCTGTCGTCCTGTTGCTGTTTAAAGACCTCCCCAGCTCAGAGCAGCTGTAGAGTTTCTAACAGAGCAGACAGATTATCGGGGTGAGTCGCAGCTGAAAGAAAGAATTATTATAGTCCTTAGAAAGTTTCTGATTAACTTATTCAATCACTGATAAGTCTGATGTTTGAGGATTTTTTAAAAAGCATCTTGTTTTCACAGTTACAGTGAATATTATGTCTGTATTTTTATTGACTTTAATTCTCATGTCCTGTTTTTATTTTTTTTACTCTTGTTTTTATTTTGATTAACAAACATTTGACATATGTTTTTGTGTCCATGTAGATTTTTCAAAGGATCTCTCAGACTGTTGGTCTCGTCTCTCCTCTCGGATAATGATGCTGACAGAGACGGAAGGCTTCAGGTGGAACTTTCTTCCAGGGTTTAACTTCAGGAGAAACCCCAGACGTCAGGCAGATGTCAACACCACCACCACCACCACCACCACCACCACCGATGGACACCAGTCACCGAGCGAACAGATTCCCCAAACTGGTCAGTGAAGCTACATCGCTATAATCAGCAGATAACAGATCAGTGCTGTAGAAATAAAGTTATGACACCATGATGAGTGCTGTCAGAGCTGAAATTATTATTTGATTTAAGTTGTGTAACAAGAGAAAAGAGACAAACATTTGAGTAATGAGGATCCGCTCTCTTTTGTTAAACAAAATATGAGTGAGTTTTGGACATTTTGAAGTTGCAGTTTTAGTCAGAACACCGCAGGGTCATACATAATAAAAAAGAATTGTTTGCTGAAGCTTTAAATATAATCTGGATTTCTCTGATTTACTATAAACATCTGAAATGTTTCTCTCTCAGTGATCGTCACTTTTGAACAGATGCTTGAGGTAAAACATTTGTGTGAAGCCGGCCAGCTCCTGATACAGAGAGAGGAATGTCTGTTTGGGGATATAAGGGAGGAGGAGGAGGAGGAGGAGGAGGCACTGACTCATCATGAAGAAGAAGTGAAGAAGCTTGCTACAGACCGCAGGGCCCTGGAGGACCTCGTACTGCAGACTCTCAGACTATCTCTCAGCCTGGGCGAGGTCAGTTTGGAGGTTCTGACGTCTGCTGTGAAGGCCGTGAAGCAGGAGGATGACCAGGACCAGCTGTGGACACAGAGAGATTGGACCCCTCCGGCCTGGAGGCCTAGTGGCTGGAAGAAACTCCACGACTCAACGCTTTGCAACTTGGTAGAGGAGCGTATGGATATGGACAACCCCCTGACGCCCCCTGCTGACCAGGTGGACCAGTCTACGATCCAGGCAGACATCCACAGCATGGGTAGGCGGCTGAAGGAGGACCTGCTGTTTGTGGTGGACGTGGTGAAGAGCTGCTACCCTCCTCAGCTGGACATCTGTAATTTATACGGCAGCTTGTACCACCAGACTCTGAGCGCAAGACTCAGGAAGATTGCAGACTTTGGTCTGGAGGACAAGGACTGCACTTTCCTCCTGCGCTGGGTCAACGAGTATTATCCACAGTAAGTACTTCCATTCAATTCATGTCTGTTTCTGTATAGGTGTATTTCTGTCCTGGTAACAGCAGAGACTTAATCTGTCAGTATGGATGTCCGTCTGTCCATTCTCTGTCTACCAATCCAAAGATTTCTCAACAAATTTATTCAAGTACATCTTTCAGGAACTTGTATTTTAAGTCAGTATTTCCATTTTAAGCTTCTCCTGCTTTAATTTAATTTGGAGACAAATATTGCCAGAACGTCCAGATAAGGGGAAGGGGGATTCAAATAGACACTGATTTGTTTTAAGGTTGGTTGTGTACCACTGTAGCCGGACTGAGTTGGACTTTCTGTTTAGTGTTGAATGTTTGGTGGAGACGATGTGATTCAGAAATCAACACAGCATTTAAAAGTATTATAAATTTCTCTTTGTGTAGTTTTGGCCTTAAAGTTTTACTGATCTGGATTTCACTACAAACATAAACTTAATCAGAGGTAATCCTTCTTAATCATTGCCATCAGTGTGTGTAGGAGTATTTACCTGCAGAGACTCTGCCTGTAGTTTATTAGTTTATTTCACTGTGTTCTGGATGTTCCTGGAAATCGAGTGAGGCCTTTATAAAAAAAAGTTTTCTCATGTGAAATCAGTTAAATAAATGAGGAAGAATGGCTTTCACTCTCTGGGACTAAAGTTGTGTAAAACACCAGTTGCAGGAGTGGCACAGATCTTGCAGCTCTGCACCAGCAGTGAATTACAAAACTCATCTAATGCAACTCAGCAAAAAGACAAACCAGGTTTTACAGTCACACCCTGATTTTCATGTCTTGTCAACAACAAGTTGCTGTGTGTCCTTGTTTTGAAATGTTGAAACTTAAGTGGGACAACAAGCTGATTTCAGATTATAATGTCTGGAGATGTTGATGAAAGTTGTGATATCTGCTCTCTCAGAATCCTGCAGAAACCAGAGCTGGTCAGTGAGATTGATGTTGAAGCATTGGGAAAGCTGCTGCCTGAACAGTTATTGAAACCTCTGGAGGATCAATACCTGAACAAACAACAGGTGAGCTAAGTTGCTGCCTGCTTTGTTTTACAGTTGTAATTTGGTAGCTTTATTGAAACTGTGACCTGACCTTTATTTAGTTTCAGGTCTATGTCGACTATTTTAAGACAAACATTAGTCGAACGGTCCTGATGTTTGTTGGTCAAACAGGACGTCCAACACTTACAGTCGGTCCACAGTGAGATATCTCAGCAACCACAGGTCAGATTAGCATGAAATGTGTTGTGTATATTCACGTGCCCAGTGGATGAATCTTAATGTTACGTGTGGCCTCTTGACCTAAACTCAATCACCAGCACCAGGCAGTAATTTTCAAAAGAATTAAAAGTGTAGATTCAGGAAATTGTTGAGAATGATCCTTTTTGTTTGATCGACCGCTAATGTTTTCTGTCAGGAGGATATTTACATGTCTAACCTCCTGCTGGCATGGCTCCAACAATACCTGAAGCATCAGTACTGTTTCAGTTTCAGGATTTTGTCACTGTTGCAACTCCTCACATGTATGTCAAATCTGTGTAATATGTAATGTTATATTTTATAAATGACAGCCACATGTTGTGTGCATTCAGGAAGAGCTGATGAAGTACATCGGACACGTCCTGGAGGAAGCAAAGCAAAAGTGGAACAACGGAGAGGAACCGACGAGAGAGGAAGGCTGCTTTGTCAGTCATGTGGCCTATGACATCATTCAGGTACAGTTTCAACAAGGCAACATCTGAATCTGCAGCTTCTCTGCACTTTACAGAGGTACACTGCTCTCTACCTGCTCAGGTACTCTGTACTCTACCTGCTCAGGTACGCTGTCCTGATGATGTGAAGTGGTGCAGATCGGTACATTAGTGAGTCCTTTGCGCAGAAGTTTATACATTTTCTAAAAACACAACACAAGAATAGGGACGGGTTGAGACAGAATGAGAAGGGATGGGATGAGAGGGGATGAGACAGGAGTCACTGTTCAGGGATGGATTGAAAATCCACTCCCATGACTCTCTGTGGTCTAAGTTGATGTCACTGACCTGTGTGCTCCCTCTGTCTTCAGCTCATCAACGGTATGGTGACTTCAGCTGAAAAAGTTGTTGGAGATCTGCATAAGGCTCAAAACTTAACGAGTGAACTGGAAGATTTAATGCAGAGGTAACAACACTGAGGATTTTTTATCTGTTAAAAGGCATTCATTTTTTACTCAACAACAAAACACTGTTAAAGTGAAAATTCCTGTTTTTCAACTCGTGCAGATTCAAGATTTTCCAAAATGATGTCATCAAGCAAAACAAACCCAACAGCCAGCCGATCATCAAAGCGAACCTCGGCTGTTTTGAACAGTTCAGGTAGGTCGCTGTTTCTGATATGTAGGCATTTTGTGATGCGAGACCGAGGTCTGACCATATTAAAATTAAAAAAGATTACAATCTGATGTCTGTGGTTCGTCTGCAGGGATGTCCTCGAGAAGAAGAGCCATCTGTTGAAAAAGGACGTGCAGAAAAACTGTTTGGATGTTTTGGCAGACATGGAACAATCTGCTCACACATATTTATTAAAACCTGTGCACGAAGCACTCAAGGTGAGCTTATTTAAACTTTATTTTAAAGTCAGTTTTCTCATTATTGTCAACAACGCTCATGAAAAAGAGACACAAAACTACAAAATATTGTGTGTGTATTAAAAAGCCTGATGTTTTCTCTTCCTCCATCGTGTTGCCTTGTTATAAACACACACAGACTGTAGTTTAATGTATACACTGTCCTACTGGCACAAATACTCACAACACCAAATGTGGATTCATCCACAGCTGAAAATAGTCCTCAACAAAGTCATTATTTCCTCCTGTATTCAATAAAAACTACAGTGAGCAGCTGTGTTTTTTAAAGAGAATTTATGAGACAGTTTTAAAGTTAAAGTAGGAACAAGTAGTAAAAGCCAAAGAAATTCATAGAATATTAATAGGTGGAGAAATTTTTGCACCAAGTAGGCCTATAAAAGTCTTAAAAAAAATTGCAGAATAAAGATTACAAAGATTTTCATGATAAAATTATCCAGCACACATGATCAAAGAAGCAGGATTGTCAGGAATATAAGAGCACCAAAAAATAATTTGCAAAACAAAAAATAATTTTATCAACAAAGAAAAATATCAGTTAGTTAAAGTATACGTATGTGTACAGTATATATATATATATATATATATATATATATATATATGCAATTTTTTTATTCTTGCAGATTCTCTGTTTCTGTGTATGAGAGTGTTTCCTGTCTGATGCATCATGTTTGTCCTCCACACAGCCTCAGTACCGTAAACTGGGAACCAGTGACTGGCTGAATAAGCCTCTGTTTGAGAAGCTGCTGGTCAGCATTGAAAACGAGCTTCAGGGTCTTCAGGGTTCGATTGTATCCTCTCACCAGGTGCGTGGAATAAAAACCATGAAACACACACTTCAGTTTAATTTAACTGAGCAGCATCTGTCTTTTACTACAAACCATGTAAACTTCAACCAACACCTTTGTTCCAAAGTACACTGTCATTGGTTTCAGCACATTTCCATATGGTTATAAAATCAGTCACGTTTACTCACAGATAACATTGGTATGATGTCAGAAAGGCGTTGGACTCTTACGTCGGACAGAAATTTGGTTAGAATGAAAATCAGGTGTTTAATTTTTTTGAATGTCTAATGATGTTAGAACTTAATGTTGTGGCTGTTAACATTATCATATTTTGTAAATGTTTTAAATGGTTTTGTTCTCCGTAGCGTAGGACTAAATGTTATTTCAACATTTAAGATGACGTTGGCACAAGACGTTTGGAAGAAATTAGATTTTGGTTATTTAACAACTTGAAACAAACTAAATATCAGCGCCACCTGTCGGCAGCATTCTACTTCATGCTGATGTTGGCACTAGAATGTGTCCTGACCTCATGGTTCCAAGGGGCATGGAAAACCTGAAAAAGTTATGAAATTTCACAATCACATTTTCCAGGACTGGAAGTGCTGGAAGAGTCCTGGAATTTTATTGTAGCTGATGAAATTGTTACAGTGATCTTTCATGTATGACATAGCTTTGATATGTGTCAAGGTGACATAGCTCTAATGTGTCAATGTGGCATAGCTCTAATGTGTCAATGTGGCATAGCTCTAATGTGTCAAGGTGACATAGCTCTATTATGTGTCAATGTGACATAGCTCTAAAGTGTCAATGTGACATAGCTCTAATGTGTCGATGTGGCATAGCTCTAATGTGTCAATGTGGCATAGCTCTAATGTGTCAATGTGGCATAGCTCTAATGTGTCGATGTGACATAGCTCTAATGTGTCAATGTGACATAGTCTTAATATGTGTCAACATGACATAGCTCTAATATGTGTCAAGGTGACATGGCATTAATATGTGTCAACATGACATAGCTCTAATATGTGTCAACATGACATAGCTCTAATATGTGTCAAGGTGACATAGGTTTAATATGTGTCAACATGACATAGGTCTAATATGTGTCAATGTTATGAGTTTGAAACTGATGTTTGAAAAACAAGATTGCTTTTGTTTTTGTTATTGTTATGGGCTTTTGAAAAGTTCTGGAAAAATGTTTTGAACTAATGTTCCTGAAAATCTGTGGGATCCTTGTGACATTAAAGTTCGGTCACCTGACGTCACAACCTACGCTCCAATTATCAATGTCTAATGACATTGGCGTCCCACCAGGCTGCACCTTCACTGTTTTCACTGACTGTTAAAGAAATGAGTGGAAGCCAATGGCTGCTCAGATGTGAGGAAAAATGCTTTGAAACACTTTGGTATAGTTTGTAAAATTGTCAGAAATAGTGTATTTATGATTTTTATAGTTGACAGAGTAAAACACGTAAACTAACTGCTTTTGTTCTCTAAACTCAGTTTGAAGCATCGAGAGGAAATTTTAAGGAGTTTAAAAACAAGTTAATAGTCATTAAGTGGTTGCAGTGATTTCTGATTTGATGACTGGATGAATTTCAGAAGCTGGTTGGTCAGCTGCACCTTGAGGTGACTGCAGAGTATGTGAGGAGGCTCCTGAATGGACAAGTCAGACTTAAGGACAAAGAGCGACAGCTGAAGGCCTACATGACCGTGAAGGAAGATGCAGAGAATCTGCACAGTTTATTTGTCAAAATGGTGAGTTAACCACAAAATAGCTTTAAACAATAATTGGATTTGGATGAAACATTAATGTTTGCTTGTAGTTCAAACAATGCATGATGTGATGTGACCGCTTTGTCCTCACAGGGATCAGACCAAGACTGGTTGATGCAAATCTTGATCAAGATTGCAGAAGTGCTCAAACTCCAAGACCTCCCTGCTATTCAGATGCAAGTAGCATCACTGGGAACTGCTTATCCTGATCTCAGGTAACCTTTTATTACTATTTTAAAGCCAATGTACGATGGTTTGTATGATATCTGATGAATCAGCGACCCAGGAATTACATAAATTCTACATATTTAACGTAAATCTGTGTATTTAACATTAAGTCATGATGGTTAGCTTCAGGACGAGACACACTGTCAGGACGTAGTTTAAAGATTGCATGGCTCTGAACACATCTGCTGGGGAAAGTCATGTGTTCTGTGAGCCATCCACCACCTCAACCTGCCTCTTAGCTGGACCACTGCCTTATTCACTCACGTCGGCACTTTGGTCATTTGATGGCAGCCTTCTCAAATACCTGGTTTATGCACCGACTATTGGCTCACCATTATGCAGAATATGTACAATGTTTGCTGAATTAATTTTTTGTAGGAAAATGTGTATAGAGTGCACAAGATTGAACAGTTTAAAACAAATGCATATACAGGTGTCACATAGACGTGCAGTGGTCCATTGACCATGACCCTAATCCTGACCCTGAAGCCACTTAACTAGAGGTGCATTTTGGGACATATGTTTGACCTCACATACTATTGGTTGACCTTTGCCCTCTCCCTGTGGCCTCATCATTTTTGATTGTTTGGTTTTGGTCTTCATTTTCTGTTATCTGAAGTTTATTACAGGTTGATTTTGGGTTTTGTCTTAGTTAATCTTTTTCCTATTGGTTTGAATTCATAATATTTTGTTGGGGTAGTGTAAATGTCTTTCTGTCTTTTGCTTTTATTAAATATTTTGATATTTTAAACTTTTTAGAATAACAGGACTTTTATAAAATTTCAGATAGAAAGAATACAAGATATAAACTGTGCCCGTGCATAGTATGGCCTCTTAGGAGGCTTACTTTTTGTCCCTAAACCTGACTCTGATCCTGACCCTGACCCTTAGTCTAAACTTGACCTAATATGGATAGGACAGCATCGTAACATTAGAGGTTCACACTACTTTAAGGTCAGGAGAAACAAACCCACCTTCAGACAGAGCTGAGAACCAACAGGAAGTGGAAATATGTTCAGATGTTTCCTGACAGCGAGATGATAATATGAGCTGAAAGCAGAGACGCTGCAGCTCACTTTCCTCAGGAAGCTGCTCCTGTCAGTGACACGCTAAACAAACAACAGTCCTGCAGTGAAATAAAGAGGCTAGAAACACAGAGGGAGCAGCTCAGGTTATGACGGATCCAGGTATTTGTTAAACCTCAAGTATTAACAGGAAAACTGAGTTCTGAAAAATGCATGAAAATATAAATGAATGATTTCTTTGGTGTGTGACCATAATGACACCTCGTACTCGTACTCGTACTTGTTGTCCTCCGCTTATCTGGGTCCGGGTCGCGGGGGCAGCAGCCTCAGCAAAGAAGCCCAGACAGTCCTCTCCCCTGCCACTTCTGTCAGCTCTTCCGCGGGAACCCCGAGGCGTTCCCAGGTCAGCTGGGTGATGTAGTCCCTCCAGCGTGTTCTTGGGTGGCCCTGAGGTCTCCTCCCGGTTGGACATGCCCGAAACACCTCCCAAGGGAGGCGTCCGGAAGGCATCCTTACCAGATGCCCGAACCACCTCAACTGGCTCCTCTCGATGTGGAGGAGCAGTGGCTCTACTCCTAGTCTCTCCCGGATGTCTGAGCTCCTCACCCTATCTCTAAGGCTGAGCCCAGCCACCCTGCGGAGGAAACTCATTTTGGCCGCTTGTACTCGCGATCTCATTCTTTCGGTCACTACGCAGAGCTCGTGACCATAGGTGAGGGTTGGAACGTAGATCGACCGGTAAATTGAGAGCTTCGCTTTCTGGCTAAGTTCCCTCTTCACCACAACGGATCGGTTAAGCGCCTGCATCACTGCTGACGCCGCCCCAATCCGCCTGTCAGTCTCTGTCAATAATGACACCTTGTTGGGTATTAATGATTACATAAAGTCTACAAACAGCATCAGATACAATATGTAATTTGTATAGGTTAAATGTCTAAAAACAATGAGACACCTTATCTGTCAGTTTAATCAGGTGTATGGTCCGTGTCTTTTGGTTGCAGTCACCTGTCAGTGGCATCAAATTGACTTTGCACAAGTCAGGACTGTGGTTGTCTGCCAGATGTCATCCTGAAGTTGTCCTAATGTTGTCCTGATGTTGTTGTGATGTTGTCTTAATGTTGTCCTAAAGTTGTCCTGATGATGTACTGATGTTGTCCTTATGTTATGTGATTGTAATGATTGAAATACATTTATGGGAATAAAACATTGATTTGTTTTACTTTTCTCTTTCTTCTTACATCCACAGTGAAAAACATGTGTCAGCATTGCTCAAACTCAAGACCAACCTCTCCAAAGTTGACAGGAGAACCGTCAAAGAAACTCTGTCAGACACATTAAGGGAAACAGGAAGTGTCGACCTTTCTTGTCCGTTTTTCGTCAGAGTTCATCTGAAATGAACTCCAGAAAATCATTCTGTTGTTGTCATTTAAAAACCGTCTGAATGTCAGGTTGTACAGTAACCCTAATCTAAGTGTGATGAGTTGGACAGGATATTGAGTGACTGTAAAATGATGGGATTTGTTTTTAGTTACCGTATGAATGTATTAGTTCATATTATTGCCATAAACATTTTATTGCTCAGAAATGTCAGTGTATTTTTTGTTTAAAAGGACCAGTTCAGTTATTTTTCTCAGAGTGTAGCCTACATAGTTTATATCAAATCAGTTTATTTTCATAGTGTGTATATTTTGTATATTTTGCATCACATTTGCAATAAAAGGAGAGGTCAAGATTTCATTTTTAAAATTTGACATTTTTGATTTTGTGTCATCTGATGTCGATTGTTAGAAAAAAGTGTTAAGTGTAAGTTTGTAAATAGATGTAATGAAACTTTTGAGTGATATTACCATGCTTTTCATGACATTTTTACCTCTGTTGTACATCAGCAACAAAATCACCTCATGGATAAAAACAAACTTTTACTGGCCGAGTTTCATGTTAACATCCATGTAGAGCAGAAAATACATAAACACGTAGTGTTGGAAAAGATGACGTACAGCCGGTTTACAAAGTATTCAGACCCCTTTACTCTTCTTGAAACTTTTCATTAAGTTGCAGCTTTGTGCTAAAGTTGTTAATTTTTTTCCCCTCATCAATCTAAAGGCAATATAATGTATGAAAAAGAGAAACCTGAAATATCACATTAACCCTTTGCTATGACACTTCAGCTCAGGTGCCTCTGTTCTATACCTTGATTGGAGTCCAGTTGTGGTCAATTCAACTGATTGGACATGGAAAGGCACGCGCACATGGGCACACGCGCGTATGAACACATGCATGCATGCATGCACACACACACCTGAGAGATATGATATGAGATACTTCACACTGGAAGGAGTTGAGCTGCAGCAGAGCTATAGAGAGAAATTTAGGTTTTTTAATTTAAATTACGTAGAAAAAGTATTTCAAGCTACTTTGTAAAACAGTGATGAAATGGTTAAATGTATGCATGATACAAAATATATGACAGAAAAGTCAAACAGGCCAAACCAACAAAATAAAATATTCCAGTATTCTTGGAAGTGCAGGAACGTCAGCAACAGGCTCCGTACAACATGTTCATTAGTTTAATTCTGGGGTGCCCAACCAGTCGATCGCGATCGACTAGTAGATCGCGGACTGATTCCCAGTCGATCGTGAGATACATAGTCAATAAATAAATGGAATTGTAAAATAGAACTATTTCTTCGGCTGCTCTGTGGCCTCTTGTGCCTCAAGCCACGCCCCTTTCCGTTGTGTCAGTTCCCTCCACTCCCTTGCGCAGTCAGACCAGGTTGACAGGTGTATGGCCGTTTTCAAAGCTAGCTAGTTTAGCCGGCTAAAAAAGCCCCACAAAGATGGCAGAAGCCAAAAAATCGAAAACCTACCATTTTCACTCAGAATGGGAGAAGGATTATTTTTTTGTTTACTCAAATTCGAAGTCCATCTGTCTCATCTGCAATGCCAGCGTGTCCATACCGAAGAAGGGCAATCTGGCGTGGCATTTCAAAACAGTGCACAAAAGCTACGAGATGGATTTTCCTGGTAAAACTGCTCTACGCACTCGCAAAGTGCGGGAATTGAAGAGTCAGCTTGCAGCGCAGCAGTCTATTTTTACCAGGCCCAACACCAAGGGTAAGGCGGCAACGATAGCATCATATTGAGTCAGTCACGTTCTTGCTAAACACAAAAAGTCTTTCAAGGACGGTGAAATTGTGAAAGAAGCGTTCATTGAGGCTGCAGATGCACTTTTTGATGAGTTTAAGAACAAAACGGAGATCGTTGCCGCTATTAAGGACGTGCAGTTATCCCGGAATACTGTTACACGGCGGTGTGAGGCAATGACAGAGGATGTTGAGGGGCAATTGAAGAAGGGCATTGACACATGTGAGTGTTTCTCCCTCCAGTTCGACGAGTCGACTGATATGGTGGATGTGACACAGTTATGTGTTTTCATTAGAATGGTTTTTGACGACATGAGTGCCAAAGAAGAGCTACTTACAATTCTGCCATTGAAAGGACATACAAGAGGCGAAGATGTTTTCAATGCTTTCATGGAGTTTGTTAACAAGAGCCAACTGCCTTTCTTCAAGCTCATCTCCATCACAACTGATGGTGCTCCAGCGATGGGAGGCCACACTAGTGGGTTCATTGCACTGTGCAAAAAAAGTGAATCTTTCCTGGACATCCTTAATTATCATTGTATAATTCACCAGCAAGCATTGTGTGTGAAGATTTTAAACATGAAAGAAGTGATGGATGTTGCTATGAAGATAGTGTGCTCTGTTTGGGCCAGGAGTCTACAGAGAAGGTTATTCAGGGCTCACTTGGAGGAGACAGGTGCAGAACATACAGACCTGCTGCTTCACACAGATGTGAGATGGCTTAGCAGAGGTAATTTTTTGGCAAGGTTCAGTGAGTTGTTGCCTGAAATCAAAGATTTTCTGAAGCTTTCAAAACATGCAGAATATGCACAGCTAGAGGACTGCCAGTGGCTTTTGGACTTAGCGTTCCTGACAGATCTCACTGGAATGTTCATTGATTTGAATTTAGAGCTCCAGGGTCAGGATAAACATGTGATCAACATGATTAGTTCAGTTAACACATTTAAAAGCTAGCTGCAACTGCTTTCAAGTAGGCTGCAATGCTGTGACCTGCGAAACTTTCCTTACATGCAAGCAGAACTTCAGCGTCAGGGCAAAGATTCTGCACAGCTTGACAGTGCACGTCATAAGGAGCAAGTTCAGAGCATCTTGTCAGAATTTGAGAAGCGTTTTACTGACTTTACATCAATTGAGCCTGTTGCCAGCTATCTGTTTTCCATTTGGGGAGGGTATCGATGTGGATTACATTGCTTCCAAAGTAGCACCACTGTTTCAACTGGATAGCTGTGCTGTTGAGAGTGAGATTCTCACACTGCAAAATGACATTGAGATCAAATCCAGGGCGACACCTGGCATGAAAGGAGACTTCTGGAACCTACTTCTGGAAAACAAATATCCCAATCTCAGAAGATGTGCCTTGAACTTAACAGCACTTTTTGGATCAACTTATTTGTGCGAGGCTGCTTTCTCTCACATGAAAATCATCAAGTCGAAGCACAGATCCACAATGACAGATGACCACCTTGTGGCCACCCTAAGGCTGGCAACCAGCTCCTACTGCCCTGACTTCGAGAAACTAGCTGCCTCCTCCCAGTGCCAGAGATCCCACTGAGGTAGGGAAATACATTTATGCAATTTTTTTGCAACTCACAAACTGCTTTTTATTATATCTGGATGGGTTTTCTGTTTGTTGTGTGCATATTAAATGCGTAGATAGGCTGTTGGCATTGGATACGGCTTCCTATGTGAACTGGTAGATCTTGACAGGCTTTAACTTTTAAAGTAGATTTTGGTTCAAAAAAGGTTGGGCACCCCTGGTTTAATTATTAACACAAAAACAGTAAAAGCAGCTTTAATCTAACTATTTGAATCACTATGCAAATATGAGTGTAGCTGAATGACCAATAACCCTAACCATAAAAATAAACTACTACTTAAATTATATTCACTGCTGACTGATGACAGTAACAAGACCAGACTGATGAGATAAACATTTAATTAAACTATTTTAGCATAAAGCTGCAACAAAAGAAAAAGTGAAATAACTGAAGGTGTCTCAACAGAGACAGAGCTTTGTGTCAGAGACTAAGATTGTTCTCTTTAACTAGAAACAGCCTGAAATTGTTGTTGTCAAATCCACCAGATGCCTTTTGAATAAACAGTCATTTTATCATTTTAAAATCTGTGTTATTTGAAGTCAACAGAAACAAATAAAACAAAAAAAGATGTTCAACAATCACCAACTCTGGTTTGGTTAAAATTAACTCTTAATTCACCAGTTAGATGTGACAATATGCTGCCTCTACACACACACACACCAACATGACTGATGGTTACTGATGAGTATGGTATGAGACATTTTGGGTCTTTTTGGATCTTTCTCTTTAATTAAACTGTTAGATGTTTTCGAATCTGGTAAAAAAGCTTTGTTACTTTTTGAGGTTTCAAATGCCTGCTGAATAGATTTATAGTATATTGTAAAAACCTAGGGTAATGTTGCTGAGTAATGTTAGCGTTGACATGCTGCTTGGAAACATTCATGGACATTACTAAAACATGGTAGTCTGTTACATGGCTGTGGGGTACTGACATTATAGTAAGTTTAATCTACAATGATTCACTCACGCCTCCTAAATTCACTCTGTCACTAGTTTTAGTTGAGCTTTTACTGTCTCACACACGGTTTATTTCCAGTGATGACCAGAGTCTCGACGTGGAGGAGCTGGTCAGTGTCAGTTTTAATGCTCCTGTAGAAAGATTTTTGATTTTATAGCTCCAGTCACACATAAAAAGTCTGTGTGTTTGTCGCTGCCATGGCTGGATGAAGATATAAGGAACTTAAAACGATAGTGGAAGACAGCAGATAGAAAATGGAAGGATGAAAACTGGTTCCCTTGTGTCTGTGAAATATTTGAGGGTTAAATGTTAGTGTAAAATTAGAGAATGAAGACATCAACATTTTTCACAATGAACCGGGTCACAATCCCAGAATCCTTTTTAGCAACATCAGTTCCTAATTGTACCCCCACCTGAACGACCCAGAACTATAATTATAATATTATTACTTTCATTAATGTTGTTGTAAGCTACTGTCATTACTGTCTGTCCTGCATCTCTCTCTCTCTCTCTCTCTCTCTCTCTCTCTGTCTCTCTCTCTCTCTCTCTCTCTCTCTCTGTCTGTCTGTGTTTCATTGTGTCATACGGATTGTACGACATTGTATGACCCTCCTTAGTTGCTCTTCCTGAGGTTTCTACCATTTTTTTTCTCCGTTAAAGGGTTTTTTTGGGGAGTTTTTCCTGATCAGCTGTGAGGGTCATAAGGACAGAGGGATGTCGTATGCTGTAAAGCCCTGTGAGGCAAATTGTGATTTGTGATATTGGGCTTTATAAATAAATGATTGATTGATTGATTGATTGATTGACTGACTGACTGACTGACTGACTGACCTGGCCAGCTGGTGAAGTCCTCTCCTGAGACATGACAAATTTAACCCTTTTTTATAACAAAACACTGCACCCTGCTGTAAAATTTGTCTGTTAACCCTGTAATTCACTGTTGCACCTTCTGAACCATCCACCTGCCTTTCAGACTGCATTTCCATCTGGTATTTAAAACCTGTATTTCAGGCGGCTGGTCCAGATATTTTAACTATTATTAACGGC